CATCCGAAATTTACCACAAAGTTTCATTATTCGGTTAATTTATTTAGTTTTATCTTATACAAAACGTTTCGTATTATGATGTTCCGTATTATGATGTTCAGACGCGAGCCACGCAATACGATTTTTCTCGACGCGGTTCATTCGCGACTTAACGTAGCCTTTTACACCAAACGATCTTGTCGTCGGTAAGTACCGTTGCGAGAGGTGCAAATTAAACGGCGATTAACGGGTGAAACCGTGACGGGCTTCCGTCTTCTGCAAAGTCATTATTATAAAGATGTTCACGATAAGTTTACGAGTTTCAGTCGCGCGAAGAGAGTTGCCTTACGCGTCGGCAGATAATACATTTTGCCTGGCATTAATGATAATGTACCTGCAAAGTATATTATACTGGAGAATATTTTAGGCGAGAGCTTCAACCAGTAAAATAAATTCTGTATTATATTGTCGTATTTTCAATTTTATAATAGCTGTCGTATTTGCATTAACACGATTAAGCTTTTAAGAGAATAATAATTGCTGACACATTTTTTTGTATTGTATCCAGTTTTTGATTTACGTCATTCACGTAATAATTTAACATTAAACTTAAAATTAAACCCTTCTTTTTTTAATTACTTATAGTAATTGAAAAAAAAAGTATTTAATTTTAAGATATATTAAAGTATTTTATTCTCGTCTCTATTTTTTAACATTTAAAGATGTTTTAGTTTTAAACTTTTTCAATAAACATAAAATGTGGGAAAAGTTTAAAACTTTAAGTATTTCAAAAATAAAGACGAGAATAAAATATTAATAATTACATTAATAATAACATAGTATCTTAATAAACATAATATCTTAAAATTAGACACTTTTTTTAAGTGAAGTTTTGATTTATTTGACAAGATATGAAAAGATATGAGAAAGGAAGTACTGAAATTTCTTCTTGACGTTTAATTTCATCAGCTAGGATTATTTGATATAATCCTAACTGATGATAGACGTAGACATATTGAAATAGATACTTGTTTTAAAAAATAAACGTATGAACGATTGAGTTAAAAAAGTATGCCGCTTTTGATTAAATTCTCGCGACGAATGACATTATTGTAATTGATATATATATGTTTAAATTTATGCATTTTATTTGATTTAGTATTCTGCTATTTTTACTTCGACATATTTTGATTGCTTCGCGATATAATTATACTCGCCCGTGCTTTACGATCTGTTTTCTGACCTTTACGATTTATTCCTTGGAATAATTTTACGTTTGTTTAGCGTGCACGATTATTTACGCTCACTTATAAAGCAGACCGATAAAGAGACATTTTTTACAGTATGGCTCTGAAAAGCGGCACTTAACATTTTCCAGATACGTTGTTGTATCGATATTTTACATTATGTATCGTTAACTAAGTACGATAAGAGATGTTTTTTATTAGATCCCTATATTCAACAAGAGAGAAATTGTGTATCGATTCAACATCAGATTTGACTTATTAATTCCAACACCTAATATGTTATTATTAATATAATTATTAATATGTTATTCTCATCTCTTTCTATTTTTAACACTTAAAGATGTTTTAGTATTAAACTTTTTCAATAAATATTAAACGTAAAATGTTTATTGAAAAAAAAATGTCTAGAAGTAAAAAATCTTTAATATTTACCTGAGACAATCCTACAATTATACGAAAAAGATTGTTTTACCGTAGAATTTAAATAAATTTAGTTAAATGCAGACCTGAAGATACTGATCTTTAAACTGGTTGCTATAGAATGTTAAAATTTTTTGCAACGTTGTTTATCATGCTTGAGATTCCTACGCAATTATTTTGATGATCCAACAGAGTTATTTTTAAAACTACTATATTTAGTAAAATTTGTAGATGCTTCAGCAAAATCGTTCTTTCCGTGTATTAATCTGATTTTGTGGAACTCATTTTATTGTCCGCAGAAATACAGCGAGATAATTTGATGATAATCTGTGAAATATGTATCTGGTCTGGCATATCATACTATTTCGTCGCACTTGTCACACTTGCCACGTATATCTCGAATAAGTATACAATCGCTCTACGTACATTTAATAAATTGGACGAATCGTCGCATTCGTAAACACGTCATCGAAGATACAAAACGCTTATCAAAACCATAAACGATGCGGAATTAGTTGGTAGCCGAGAGGCGATCGAGACCTTATTGCCGTTTATACGCCACTTACGATAAGTGGCGTCGTAAATGCAATTGAATGCAGCGTGCACGGTACAATACGGTGTTTCGGCATGCCTTGTTGGAAGTTCTCGCGATCAAACGCCAATGAAACAAATTGCAATTGCGTGTTAGGTCGAGATACGTAAAAAAGTGTACGTAAAAATCGATACGTTGCATTATAGTATCAAAACGAAATTGCTTTCGATATTGAAATTATTATACTCTCGATATCCTATAATTATAAATGGTAACTACTTCTTCAACTTGCGATTTATATGGGACACGATTAAAGAAATATTTAAAGCTCTGTGTGTTTAAAGCTCTAAGGAAGCTTGCCTCATTACATGAGGCAAGTTGCAGAATTTAGAACATTACGAGCGATAAATCACAGGCTGGGATAGAATATGGGTGAAAAAAGCTGAAGTGGATATACGACACACATAATTTCCCCATTGCGCCAAACATACAAGTGGTCTAGCCGCCTTCGATTGACTACGTATTCGTATTTGACTACGGCTCCGTATTCGCGTGCCATAATCTTCGTTTATGAAAGCCGCCGTTATCCCTTACAAAGTTCGTTTAACAATCTAGCATGAGGGCGCGTTTCGCGACAACATGTTCCGCGAATGACAATTGATTTTATAAGTAACGATGTCACTTTACGCCCACTTATGATATACGGGCGGCGCGTCGAGATTGTCCGCGCGAGTTCGAGGCGACAATAAAATTTTAACGCAGGCATAAAAGCGCCACCGTCCGCCTCTCGATACCGAGGCGAACCCAGACGGATATTTGAGAATACGGTCCTCACCACAACGCGACGGCCGTAAGAGCATAAATAACGGAAATCCAACGCGATCGTTTTGCAGTGTGCGCGCGGCCGATGAATATTTACGCTGACATTTAGACTTCCATTACCCCGTTCGCGTGTATGTGTGTAGCGCAGTAACGGGAGAACAATACGTTTGGTCGGAGTAACCATTGCACCGGGAAGAATCAATCGCTGTGATTTATCGCCGGTCGCGGATAAATAAGGTAGCTATAGATAGATAGAGTCGGGAAATAATTCATACAAACATTTTTCGAATAAATTCGATTTTCAATAAATTGAAAATAAAGACTCTAAACAGTCAAGCTTGATTTAGTGTTTCAATAATTTGGTATGTATTACGTTATATATTACTCGTATCCAATCCTACAATTGCGCGTCGAATTTAATTTTTAGTCTTGAAATATAATCCTACAGAATTAGAGTATTACTTGATATTACATATAAAATTGATAAGCAATTTAATAATATTGATGCTTATTATAGGCATCTTAGAATCTTAACCTGTAAATAATTTTTTTGCGAAAAGTTACTTCGACCTGGATCTGCCCTATTCCGAAATACAATTTCTTTTCAGAGAGTTAGAACTTCACGTTACAATTTTCCTTGCACTGCTAAATTTTTAATTAAATTCAACATAATTGAACTTATAGTTACTTAAAAAAAAAATGACAAAAAAACCTTTTTTTAAGATTTACCCTGTTATATCCCCTTAAATCGCCATCACTCCTACAATATATCGTTATTTGAAGCAAATTTGACACTATATATAATGTCAAATTTAACCATTGTTTCAGTATAAAATAACGATACATCGAGTAGGAGTAGTGACGACTTATATAAAGTTAAATTTGACACTATAGATTTGACAGTGTGGGCTTAATTTATCTCTGCATTCTCTCACCGCCGCTAGAGATATGTTTATTCTTGCGAATCGATTTCTCTACAAATGTATTAGGGTGATAACGATAAGAGATCGGATTTGAGTCTTATGTGGTGGATTTAATCCAACGCTCACGATCGCCGCACGATCTTTGTAAAAATTCCGATCGCCCGGGCACGATTCTTATCCGGGCCCGACAAAAATTCTAATTGCCGGCGCACGATCGTTATCTGCGCGCAGAAAAATTCTGACGGCCGGTACACGATCGTTCCGTTTCCTCGAAAAAATTCTGATTACTGGGAAGCGAGCGAGGACAGCCGGTATTAATCGACGCTAATCGCGCTCGTACGGGAAGTACCGTTCGATTAATACCGAGAGCAGAGAAGCAACGAGCGTCGCTCGCGTGTATGATGGACCTAATTTACGATTTACTCTCGCAAAATCCGCGCGATAATAGCCGTTCGCGAATCGCGCGAATGACTAAGAGCTCATTAGCCACGCGCGTCACTGCGTATTTTTTTTTTTTTTTACGGTTGACGCGCTTTATTAGCACGTATTCCGTCTGTGAACTGCATCAATTAGAAGCGTCGCGAATACATACGGTACTTGATAGACGCGTAATTAGCAAATACCGGCCGCTTATCCAATCCTAACTCGTATACGATGCTAAATTATGCGTACTTTTCATCTCCACGTTCAACTAGCGACACTATGCGACATTCTCGTTTACGCCATTTGATATCATTAATCGGAATTTGTATGTTTTTCTCACCAGTAAATACTATATATTACGAGACGCTTTTTACGTTACAAGTAAACATCGTGACGATCAGTATAGTACTGAGAATATTTATCACTTCCTTGTGATACGATCTTATCTAAGGATTGTCTAAGAAACTTCTAAGAAGATTGTCTAACAATGAAGCCTGCGGCAGACGATGCTTTTTTCCTGCTGGAAATGACACCACACAGAACGTAGAATTTTCAATAATTCACTAAAACGCAAGCAATCCAGCAGGAAAACATGCACCGTGTGGCCGCGGGCTTAAGAATACTTTCATATTATTGCGTGAAAATGTACGTTACCCGTGCCTAGAAGTTCTCCAAGTTCTCGTAGTCCGAATTTCCTCATCCGTCTGCCTCATCCGTTCTGCTCACTTTACAGCGTGGGACCACCTACGCACATCGAACGTCGATTAGCAAACCGCAATAAGTTATCGAATGCCGTAGCTAGCGGCTATGTGCGTTCCAGCATTACTGGCTCATTTCATTCACACTGTCCGTAATTTCGGCCTCGCGAAAGAATAATGGCGAAATACGCAGACTTTCACCCGGAGGGGGTCGGTCTACGTTGCGGGACGGCTCGATCTTATGGATGCACCTGCCGAATTTACATGACATTCGAGCTTAAGCCGTTTAGCCCGATCGGCCGATCCACGCGAGACAACGAATAGCCCCTTCCATTTCTTCGTCCCTCCATATCGTGCACATATAATGTATAAGTTTGCGAATACACGTATAATTTGGGCTTCAAATGTTGAACGATAATTCTCTAATAATAGTAATAGATCAGATAATTTCTCTAATCTTGAAATTAAATTTAAAATCGTTTTAGAATTACAGTTTTAAATATTCTACACACAACAGATAATCGCTCTCTTAAATTAGATTTCGATAACTTATTCCGCGTTATCTACAATAAACTATGTTTCTATAAGATTTCGAAGAAGAGATATACTAGTAATGTACGCAGATATCTGATACGTTGCGAGTACGGAAGAGTAATCGTCATAAATATCTAACGGCTGCGGAAAGAATCAATCAATATAATCGCGACACTGAATCTCAGTCAATAATTACATCGACGAAAAATTAACTCTGTTTCCTAGGGATACGTTGGATCAGTATAGTATGTATATCGATATGCAATAATGATGGCAATCGAAGGCTACTGATTAGTATCGCGACAGGAATTAAATTTAGCGTGAAGAGTTGATTAACGCAATTAAAAAATTATATTTTAACGATAACGCGAAGTCGAGCATTCCGAGATATTGCAATCGTTTAATTTGAAAATCACCGATTAACATTTTTCAACCGGAGCAATCATTTCTCATAATATCAGATATGCGTTACATATCTGGAAGGCACTGATTTCTCTTTAATCTCAGCTTCACGCGAATGAACGCGAGTCGAGCGGACAGACGCAGAAAAGGGACGTGGACGATTTATACGACGTTTCAACGTGCCGTGATGTTGGCGATTTAGATTTAGGACTCAGAGGAAAATCCTGATAAATTCTTAGACGAAAAGTAGCGGTTTCTCAATGTCCACAGACGAACATGCGTCCGCAAATACGATAATCACCTATAAATTTACGGATGAACATAAATTTCTTTGGAATTCCGCTTCGTTGATTATTAATTGAAACAAAGTTGTCATGCATTATTATTATTATAGTTGTTGTTATTATTATTATTATTATTATTATTATTATTATTGTATGTGTGATACGAGGATTTCAACCGTAAAGTCTATTCGCATATTTAAAATTGCGACAATGTAGGCTGCACAGTAAACTATTAATCAAGCATTCGAGCGTATCCTTCCGCTCTAAATGTCCTCCTCACTACGAAAAGCTTATAGGACTCACTACATCAAACCTGTTCGCCATATGTATTTTTTCACTTGTCGTCCGTTAATAATATCGAGTCGACTCTCTCCTGCCATTACAGATATGAAAATGATCGCGAAGTCGAACAATAAATTTTGTCTGTTGTCAATTGATTAAACAAGTTGTCTATTATATGCAAAACGATGTCCTTGCGTAAAGGACGATTATGAAATATTCAATAAAATATGTAAAATCGTGTTTATCTATTTCAGACTGTATAGATTATATATTATTTATTAAAGTTCATTTTTATCAATGTGAATTAACTTTAATCTCCGTTTAATTTACTTTTTAATGTTTTTCTAGTATTCTAAAAATTAGAAAAACAAAAAGTGAATTAAACTAAAATTAAAATTATTCTCCATTGATAGAAACAGGCCATAGAGGAAAAAATCTTAGACTATATTTGTCTGTTGAATTGATAATCCGTTAACAAACGGATTACGAATTTGCAAAAACTGTGCTTCTTGTAAATAAAAAGAATCACATTAAATTATGAAGTTGTTTGCGAATTATCCCTGTTTGTGTAATATTATATGCCGTTTGAATAAAATTGAGTATCGCGTGTACTGAGCCAGTTAATTTTTTGCTTTGAATATGATATCGTGTTATGCGTTAGCCGTTTGAAATAATACGTAACGACGTGATACGAAAGTATCGTTTTGCGCTGGACAGAAAAGTCGATCCCATATTATGTTGTCGAAGTGTCGTATTCATTAATAATGCGTAAAATTACACGATATATTTTTGCACTTGCGGTATCAATATATATGATATTTAACTAATCATCAATTAAACTGTAGAACTTTTAGTTAAATTAACGATATATTATTAAGCAGTGGCGACTTGTAGAAATGATTAAGAACTCAAATTGAGTATAATTTGACGTATTGATGAATTAGTGTAATAAATAGCGCTAATTAGTCGTGCTAACTTTTATTTATTACGAAAAATTTTTTTTTTGTTATTGGAAATCGTAAACACTATGAAAAACAGCTTTGAAAAAAAAATTATATATACGATACCGTGTTAAAATCGAGAGTGCCTAATTATGATTATTCTACAGACAGATGACAAAATTAAAAGTCGATTGTCGGCAAATTGATATTCCCTAAAGAAGCGTCGTTTAAATTATCGTCAAGCTGGCGCGTCAGATTACTAATTAGGCAAATCAATTATTTCGTCCTTATATCGGACCGATCGATCGTCCGTTTGAAAACTTCGGTCGTTTAATGGCACTACGGCCTAATTTACGAACTTTCATTCGATAAAGTCTCAGTTTCTAGACAAGCCTCTTCGTTTCTCGAATCGATAATCTCGGGACGTTTTCAAGGCAATTATATGAGCGACTAGGTAAATATATAAAATTATTTCACTTCGATGATCATCATAAAAAGTCTCATTTTTACACGTCAGAATTTTATCATTTAACACTAAAACCGCGAGTCTAAATTAATTCAATCGCGATTCAAGGTAAATCTGGCTTTTTAGAGAGATCTTATCAGAGAGAGGTCACTATAAAGTAAAATTACTTGTAATTAATTATGATTATTTATGAAAAGTGACGAAAGCTCCACGTACAAATTCAAATTAACTGGAAAAGAAAAATTATCAGATTAATAAGAACTTGCACAGCGTTCTAGTGTTAAATATCATGTATCTATAAAAGTTCAATATATGGCAACATGTATTTTGCAGTAGTATTTATAAATGGCTAACTAAGTATTAGAATAATTATCTTTGCAATTCTTGATGTTTCCATGTTGTAATTGATCCTCAATCTATTTTCATTCACTTGTAAAAATTAATTATATACTTTTCATTAAATAGTACTGTTATTGTTATTTTATTTTAAGAGTATTTTATATTTATTTCTTTAAGAAATTATTGATTATAGTAAAGCGATAAACTCGTCCTCATTCTATCTGTTTAGATTGATTTCACCAGATTTGTTACTCGGTCTCAGAGAGTGTGTACGCAATGATATACACAGCGTTTATTTCTGCTCCCCCACACACGCGATATCTCACGGAAGTAAATGCATGGCGTTAGCGATTGCGACGTACGATTACTGCGGCCAAAGACCGGAGAAATCGATGTGTAATAGATAATTATCAAACGCGATTTTAATCATTTTTTCATATCTCGCATTCGCGTATTTACATGCTACATCATTATGGTTCTGGAATTGTTGGAACATGCGCAATATCTACAATATTAGCGAACACGATGTTTCGATCAGCCGCGCGATCCAAAGATCGATTAATCAATTAAACTTACGTAAGATGTATATACCATTTATCATTTCATGATTCTTCGACTATGAAGTTTGAAATTCAACGGTCTTGAAAGGAAAATGTTAAGAACTTTAATACGAACTTTCAGCACGTTCTCGACATTAGTCAATCTGCTCGAATAAGAAATATAATCAAATAGTCGCACGTATCACGTTATCTTTTATGGTGTTTCCCTCTTCTCCTTTCTAGACTCTTAGGACGTATCTTTTTATTTCCGAACGTAGGATCTTTCAAACTTGTTCCCTAATGTCCACAGAGAGCGAACTCGGCAAACAAACCGCATTAGTATAATTATCGGGCCAGCCCTAGGACCGAGTTGTGGGAAAATGTCCACTGTGTGTAACCTATCGATACCCGACGTTTATCCAATCAATTATGATCTCTATGCGCGGACTGGATGAAAAACCTTATACTACCAGTCGACAATGATCTTTAAAACAATCGACAATGAAACCTCATAATCTAAATATCAACATTTCAAACATTTGAAAGATCGACTGAAGCAACATTGTTGTTTGCAGTCTCAATTCGTGTTATTAAAATTCCGTGATTGATCAAAAAATTTCTTATCTACAGAATATAAGAGTACGAATGCAGTTTTATATATTGATTCTCTGACTCTGTAAAATACAATCCGACTTCTATGATGGTAAAAACTTAAATGAATCAAAATTTTTTCAGATTTTTATATAATTTAGATCAAAAAAAGAATCTTTATTTCTCAAAGACTTATTGTTCATAGAAGAGTTCAAATTCGTGTTGCTGTGAAGAGGTAATAAGAAAAATTTTTTAAACTTTACGTTTAAAATTAACAAAAAAAAAATAAAAATAAAAATAATAATCATTGTGTGTAATTTATAATCATTATGTTGTAATTTGAAAGGAAAACAATAAATTGTTTGCTATTGCACTTATTCTAAGATCCTTTTTTTGCAATTCTATTTATATGCTGTTGCTAAATTCTTTATTTTCCGTATCATTGTATTCAATTGCGCGAATGGAAGGCGATGTTGTCACCATCATTTATCTGATTTATCGAGCGTTGACATTAATGGCGCCGATCAGTTTACGACGATCACTTCGGAAAGTGTGAAATCTCCAGACCATCGTTATCTCCGGCTCCATTGGAGCTCTGTCATGATTTTCCTCTCGCTCCGCGCTTGAGAAGGCATCTCTTCAAAGAGCATCGCCGATCGCGTATCGTG